AGAACCAGTTCTCGAAAGAGAAAGAAGTGAAGGCAGGTGAAATTTGTTCAAAGTAAAAATACGGAATGATTGGTGGGCAAAACAAGGCTGAAATATATAGTCATGCCTACAGTTGTAATAGAGAGGTTAAAGTCAAGCCTAGGTTTAGAAGGGCCATTAGCAGTAATCTTGAACTATCCAAGAATGATGTTTGATATATAAAATCAAACATATAATGATATATGTGGTATAATAAAATGATTCATGTACTAAAATTATCCAAGAAAATGGGACAGTAGATTAGAGTTGGATAGATAACAGCCATAAAGAGAAAAAGAGCTTAGTTTAAATAAATTACTGATTAAATATTTTACGTTGGAATATAAATTTTAAGTTTTCAAAACATTTCACATACAGTACTAGATTCTTAAAACTAGCTTTTCAGTTAACTGTTAATATCCTTATTGATAAGGGAGAAAACTGAAGCTAAGGCAATTAAAAAAAGAAAAACACAGATAGAAAATAGCATAAACAGGAATAAAACTCAGATGGTTCATTTGTTTGCTCATTTATTCATTGTTTTGCTTTTTGAGCACATATTGTGTGGTAGACAGTGTGCTTTGAATATGTGAATAAATGAGTAAGACTCAATCTTTCTCCTCAAATATCTTCTATCTAGCAAGGGAGAAAAATAATCATAGATAATTGTAATGAAATTTAACTAGTAGTTTCCCCTATATCACAATTGCTTAAAAAATTCTACATAAATTTAATTGCAAATGGAGGTGCAGATGTTAATATAAACTTCTTCAATATAGAGAAAAGTTTACAAAGCATTCAACATGTATAGTTTATAGTATATTGGCAAGGCAGGAAGGTACGCAATGGCACTCTTTATGAAATTCAAATAGAATTATAACAAATTTTATTTCTGTGTAATATAAAATTTTGAGATTTCATAGGTACCATTAAAAATAATAACTATATGTTTTTAAAACTATATTTTGCCTATTATGGTAGCATAGTGTTATTTATGGTAACTTCAAATACAAAATAACTGTTTTACATATATATTATATATATCAACATTATATATGTATATATAATTACATGTATGTGTATATATGTGAAGTTTGTTCAAAGTAAAAATATGGAATGACTGAGTGGTATTATATATCTGTGTATATATAGATCTAAAATTATACATATGTGTATATATATTTCTAAGTAGATATATAATTATTTTTATGTGTGTGTGTATATATATATATACATATATAAATATATATATATATAAATATATTTTATATATATATATATAATTCTGAGTAGATCTAATGCAATCAAAAGGAGCTTTTGTACTGATCTTCAAATCTGAATGAAGTTAGCCAAGTCCTAACAAATGTGTGAAAATTAGGAAAAGAAAATCCTAAGAAAGTATAGAAAATTTAAAGTTTAAAATTTGCCTTTTGATGGCAGAGTTGCCTCTAGAGTTAGGAGGCTTCTTATCACTAAAATAATCCAAGCATAAGCGATATAATTTAATTTTCAGGAATGCTCTGGGATAGATTTTCTGCAGAGAGTAGGAAGCTGAACTTCAGAAACTTAAGCCATTTCACCATGTCTAAATTCTAATTAATTGTCTAGATAATGGGGAAGCAGCCAGTATAAAATGTAACACTATAAATTATAATAGACTATAATGAAATAAGTTGTTCTATTTATAAGGGAAATTTGGATTTATAGAGAACAATTCAAGGGGAAAAGACACCATGTCTAAGCAAGCATTCTAAAGTTAAGAAATGTTTTTGCTAATTCTTACAATTTTATCTTGACCTATATGACATAATTCCAATGCCATTTTTATTACTAATGTAGTTTATAGTAATAGATTTTGAATAACAACCATTATTCATAAAAACGGTAATTTATCTGATACTTAATAGTGCCAGCAGGAACTTTAAATTTATATTTATTATATGTATATATTTTATATATATATGTATATATTATATATATATATATACACAATAATTTAGTATTCATAACAACTGTATAATTACCATGTTTTACAGAAAAGATAACTGAATCATAGAGAAGTCACATAACTTGCTAAAGTCACATATTTCCAAGATGGAATGTAGCTGGGATTCAGATACAGGCAGTTTTGCATGTGGGCCTGTTCTTTTAACTTCTGTTCTTTGTTAAGTACACCCTGTATTTGTTAGAATTCTCCAGAAAAATAGAACCAATAGGACTTATTTATATATATATTTTTTTCTACACACACACACATATATATTTGTGTATATAAATGTATATTTATATTTATGTGTGTGTATATATATGATAGAAAAGAAAAAGAATGAAAGAAGGAAAGAAAGGAAGGAAGGAAGATAGGAATAGGGAGAGGGAGGGAGAGAGAGAGAAGAGAAAGAAAAAGAAAGAAAGGAAAAAGAAAGAAAAGAAAGAAAGAGAGAAGAATTCCTCCTTTCTCCACTTTTTTGTTCTGTTTAGGCTCTGAAAGGGTGATGCCCATCCATGTTGAAGAGAGCAGTCTGCTCTACTAAGTCTGCCAATTTAAATATTAATATCTTCAGAAACACTCTCACAGACATATCCAGAAATGATCTTTGAACAGGTATTTGGGAATTCTGTGATCTAGTCAAGTTGACATGTGAAATTAGCTATCACAAGTCTACGTCTTGTCAACTTGGCACTCATATGAATCTACTTAAACCATACTTAATCTCCAAATAAAGATAATAACAAGGTCATACTTCTGCCTAACATGGTACAGCTATCCTGTGTACAACCAAAAATACATTAATCTTTTCCCAGAAGAGAAGATAAAGTCCCTGAGTGATGTTTACCCTTCTTCCTGACAACCTGTTACTTAAATGTTACTATGTAAAATTACCAATACCTAAATATGGTAATATAAAGTCAGTATATCTTATGTTACATGTCAAGAGAATAAGGGAGGAGAGAAAACAAAAGATTTTATATATACAGGTTGAGTATCCTTAAACTAAAAATCCAAAATCCAAAATGAAAAATATTCTGAAAGCTGAAATTTATTGATCACTGAATGATGCTCAAAGGAAATGCTCATTAGAGAATTTCAGACTTTGGATTTTCTAATTAGGGATGCTAAACCACGAATTATAATGCAAATATTCCCAAATCTGAAAAACTCTGAAGTCTGAAACATTTCCAGTCCCAAGCCTTTTGGGTAAGGGATACTTAACCTGCATATACAAATGTGTGTGCACGCACACACACACACACCCAACTCAGTAAATGTTTCTGTAACTGGTCACATAGTCATAGCTGATATTTGTAATTACTTTCTTTCACTACCATTATGTTTTTTCTTTGCTTTTAGCAAAGCTGACTTCAGCTGGTCATGGTTCTTTACCTGGCGAGATGACCCATACCTTCATTGCTGAAAGGTGCTGGATGTTAGTTAGTAGTCCTGCTTGGATTGGGTGGTTGTACTTTTGCATTGACCTTAGTAACAGGGCACTGTTATACTGAGAAATAGCCTTAGGAATCTCTTGTATTCCAGAGATGCTCTTCCTTAACGCCACTGTGGAGCAGTACTTTTGGTAGCCAGCAGAGTAACTTCCTTCGGAGCCTGTTGATTTAGAGGCATGAGGAGCCCAAAGTGGTTGAGTGGCAGTTTTAATTTCCAGTTCAATGGAATTATTATTGTGCCTTCTGGTAAAAGCATTTCTCCCCCTCTCAGCCAGAAAAGCGTGTGGTCTCAGGAACAGAAAAATTGCTAGGTGTCACTAGGGGTAACAGTAAATGGTGCCACTTTCATTTCCACCCCTTGATTCCTGGACTTGTGAATCCTGGCTATGGGAGAAACAGCACCATATATTTGACACTGATTCAAAGTATATACAGCCTTGTGGAGTACCTTGCCTTAGCCTTACAAGGTGTTTCCACCTGCTGGCACTGTTACTGAGACTTCAAAAGATCATTTTACCATTCTGTCAAACCAACTGTTTTGGGGTGGTAAGGGACATGGTAAGACCAGGCAATACCATGTGAATGGGCCTACTGCCATACTTCTATGCTGTGAATTGAGTTCCTTAATCAGAAACAATGCTGTGTGGAATGTCACAGGAGTGGGTAAGACATTGTGTAAGTCCATGGTGGTAGTTCTGGCAGAAGCATTGCATAAGAAAAGGTAAATCTGTATCCAAAGTCAGTGACTATTCCAGTAAGAACAAAATACTGTCCTTTCTATGATGGAAGCAATCCAATGTAATTAACCTATTATGACTTACATGGCTAATCATCTCAGGGATTGGTGACAGTCTCGGTATTGATCTGTGGTTTTAGTCCCAGGGACTTAATATTAATCTCTGCTGCTGACAGACTGGGCATTCAGCAGTGACCATAACCAGATTGGTCTTGGTGAATAAAAATATATTTTGCTGAGCCCATGTATAATGTTCATTTCTGCTACCATGGCTGTTTTGATCATGAGCTCATTGGTTGGCTAGAAGAAAATGTGACTGGTGTCTACAGAACAGGTCATCCTATCAACTTAATTACTAAAACATCCTATCAACTTAATTACTAAAATCCTTGTTTAGGCTGGGCATGGCAGCTCATGCCTGTAATCCTAACACTTTTGGAGGCCAAGGAGGGCGAATCATCTGAGGTCAGGAGTTCAAGACCAGCCTAGCCAACATGGTGAAACCTCGTCTCTACTAAAATTACAAAAATTAGCCAGGTGTGGTGGTGCCCCAGCTACTCAAAAGACTGAGGCAAGAGAATCACTTGAACCCAGGAGGTGGAGGTTGCAGTGAGCCAAGATTGTGCCATTGCACTCCAGCCTGGCTGACAGAGTGAGACTCCATCTCAAAAAAAAAAAAAAAAATTAATGAAGTGACCCTTTAGTGAGCATTCACATGGGACAAAAAATAACTTCACTTTTGTTATATTCCCCTTCCTGTGTCCATGTGTTCTCATTGTTCAGCTTACACTTCTGAGTAAGAACATGTGATGTTTGGTTTTCTTTTCTTTTATTAGTTTGCTGAGAATGGTAGTTTCTAGCTTCATCCATGTTCCTGCAAAGGACATGAACTCACTTTTTGTATCACCGCATTGTATTCCATGGTGTATATGTGCCACATTTTCTTTATCCAGTCTATCATTGATGGGCATTTGGGTTGGTTCCAAGTCTGCTGTGTGAACAGTGCTGCAATAAACATACATGTACATGTGTCTTTATAGTAGAATGATTTATAATCCGTCGTGTATATACCCAGTATTGGGATTGCAGGATCAAATGGTGTTTTAAAATTTTTTAGGAAATCCAAAAGGCAAATCAATTCAATTAAGTGAAATGGGATAATAGGTTAATCAATAATTTTTTGTTTTTCTTAGAGTTATTATTTTTACTTTCTTGGACTGGGCTTTGAAAAAAAATTAACAAAATTTATCTTGGGGTCAGGAATGGTGGCTCATGCCTGTAAACCCAGCACTTTGGAATGCCAAGGTGGGTGGAACACTTGAGGTCAGGAGTTCTCTCTCTATATATATATTCTATATATATATAAATATATAGTATATATATTCTATATACTGTAGTTTATATATATTCTGTAGATTTTATATATTCTCTTTATATATTAGAGAATTCTAATATATAGAGAATATATTCTCTATATATAGAGAGAATATATATATAGATTCTATATATTCTATATATATTTTTTATATATATTCTCTCTATATATTTTATATTCTATAGATATATATATAGTTTATTGCATTTTAGGTTCTGGGGTACATGTACAGAACATGCAGGACTGGTACATACATGGAAATGTGGTTTGCTGCCTCCATCCCCCTGTCATCTATATCTGGCATTTCTCCCCATGTTACCCCTCCCCTGTACCCCCCCAACAGACCCCAGTGTGTGATGCTCCCTTCCCTGTGTCAATGTGTTCTCATTGTCCAACACCCACCTATGAGTGAAAACATGTGGTGTCTGGTTTTCTGTTCCTGTGTCAGCTTGCTGAGAATGATGGTTTCCATATTCATCCATGTCCCTACAAAGGGCACGAACTCACTGTTTTTTATGGCTGCATAGTTTTCCATGGTGTATATGTGCCACATTTTCCCTGTCCAGTCCATCATCGATGGGCATTTGGGCTGGTTCGAGGTTTTTGCTATTGTAAACAGTGCCACAGTGAACATACATGTGCATGTGTCTTTACAACTGAACGATTTATAATTCTTTGGATATATATCAAGAAATGGGATTGCTGAGTCAAATGGAATTTCTATTTGTAGATCCTTGAGGAATCACCACACTGTCTTCCACATTGGTTGAACTAATTTACACTTCCACCAAGAGTGTAAAAGCATTCCTATTTCTCCACATCCTCTCCAGCATCTGTTTTCTCCAGATTTTTTGATGATCGCCATTCTAACTGGCATGACATGGTATCTCAATGTGGTTTTGATTTGCATTTCTCTAATGATCAGTGATGATGAGAATATTTTCATATGTTTGTTGGCATCATATATGTCTTCTTTTGAAAAATGTCTGTTCATATCTTTTGCCCAATTTTGTATGGGTTTTTTTTCTTGTAAATTTGTTTTAGTTCTTTGTAGATTCTGAATATTAGCCCATTGTCAGATGGGTAGATTGAAAATTTTTTTCCCTTTCTGTTGGTTGTCAGTTCACCTAATGATAGTTTCTTTTGCTATGCAGAAGCTCTGGAGTTTAGTTAGATCCCATTTGTCCATTTTGTGTTTTGTTGCCAATGCTTTTGGTGTTTTGGTCATGAAGTCCTTGCCTATGCCTCTGTCCTGAATGGTTTTGCCTAGGTTTTCTTCTAGGATTTTTATGGTATTAGGTCTTATGTTTAAGTCTTTAATTCATCTGGAGTTAATTTTAGTGTCAGGCGTCAGGAAGGGGTCCAGTTTCTGCTTTCTGCACATGGCTAGCCAGTTTTCCCAAGACCATTTATTAAACAGGGAATCTTTTCCCCATTGCTTGTCTTTGTCAGGTTTGCCAAAGATCAGATAGTTGTAGGTGTGTGGCATTGCCTCTGAGGCCTCTGTTCTGTTCCATTGGTCTCTATTTCTCTTTTGGTACCAGTATCATACTCTTTTAATTACTGTGGTCCTTAAGTGTAGTTTGAAGTCAGGTAGCATGATGCCTCCAGCTTTGTTCTTTTTGCTTAGGATTGTCTTGGCTATGTGGGCCCTCTTTTGGTTCCATAAGAAGTTTAAGGTGGTTTTTTCCAGCTCTGTGAAGAGGGTCATATGTATCTTGATGGTGGTATCATTGAATCTATAAATTACTTTGGGCACTATGGCCATTTTCACAACATTGATTCTTCCTAGTCATGAGCATGGAACGTTTTTCCATCTGTTTGTACTGTCTCTTATTTCCTTGAGCAGTGGTTTGTAGTTCTCCTTGAAGAGGTCCTTTACATTCTTTGTTAGTTGTATTCCTCAGTATTTTATTCTCTTTGTAGCAATTGTGAATGGCAGTTCATTCTTGATTTGGCTCCCTTTAAGTGTGTTATTGGTGTGCTTGTGATTTCTGCACGTCGATTTTGTATTCTGAGACTATGCTGAAGTTGCTTATCAGTTTCAGGAGATTTTGGGCTGAGATGATGGGGTCTTCTAATTATACAATCATGTCATCTACAAAGAGAGACAATTTTACTTCCTCCTTTCCTACTGAATACCATTTATTTTTTTTTCTTACCTGATTGCTCTGGCTAGAACTTCCAAGACTATGTTGAATCGGAGTGGTGAGAGAGGGCATCCTTGTCTAGTGCCAGATTTCAAAGGGAATACTTCCAGTTTTTGCCCATTCAGTATGATATTGGCTGTGGGTTTGTCGTAAATGGCTATTATTATTTTGAGATACATTCCACTGATACCTAATTTATTGAGAGTTTTTAGCATAATGGACTGTTGAAATTTGTTGAAGGCCTTCTCTGCATCTATTGAGATAATCATGTGGTTTTTGTCTTTGGTTCTGTTTACGTGATAGATTACGTTTATGGACTTATATATGTTGAACCAGCCTTGCATCCCCAGGATGAAGCCTACTTGATCCTGATGGATAAGCTTTCTGATGTGCTGTTGCAATAAGTTTGGCACTATTTTATTGAAGATTTTTCATTTATGTTCATCATGAATATTGGCCTGAAGTTTTCTTTTCTTGTTGAGTCTCTGCCACGTTTTGGTATCAGGATGATATTGGTCTCATAAAATGATGTGGAAAGGATTCCCTCTTTTTGGATTGTTTGGAACAGTTTCACAAGTAGTGGTACCAGCTCCTCTTCATATGTCTGGTAGAATTAGGCTGTGAACTCATCTGGACCTGGGCTTTGTTTGGTTGGCAGGCTATTAATTGCTGCCTCAACTTCAGCCCATGTTATTGGTCTATTCAGGGTTTTGACTTCTTCCTGGTTTAGACTTGGGAGGATGCAAGTGTCTAGGAATTTATCCATTTCTCCCATGTTTACTGGTTTATGTGCATAGAGCTGATTGTAGTAATCTCTGATGATAATTTGTATTTCTGTGGAATAGGTGGTGATATCCCTTTTATCGTTTTTCATTGCATCTATTTGATTCTTCTATCTTTTCTTTTTTATTAATCTGGCTAGTGGTCTGTCTAGTTTGTTGATGTTTTCAAAATACCAACTCCTGGATTTATTGATTTTTTGAAGGGTTTTTTTGTGTCTGTATCTCCTTCATTTCTGCTCTGATCTTAGTTATTGTCTTCTGCTAGCTTTATCCAGTCTATCATTGATGGGCATTTGTGTTGGTTCCAATCATTGCTATTGTAAACAGAGCCACAGTGAACATGTGTGTGCATATGTCTCTATAACAGAATGATTTATAATTCTTTCGGTATATACCTAGTAATGGGATTGCTGGGTCAAATGGTATTTCTATTTCTAGATCCTTGAGGAATCACCACACTGTCTTTCACAATGGTCGAACTAATTTACACTCCCACCAACAATGTAAACCATTCCTATTTCTCCACATTCTCTCCAGCATCTGTTGTCTCCAGATTTTTTAATGATCATCATTCTAACTGGCATTAATATGCTATCTCAGTGTCATTTGTTTTGCATTTCTCTAATGACTAGTGATGATGAGCATTTTTTCATATATTTGTTGGTTGCATAAATGTCTTCTTTTGAAAAATGTCTGTTCATGTCCTTCACTCACTTTTAGATGGGGTTGTTTTTTTCTTGTAAATTTGTTTAAGTTCTTCGTAGATTCTGGATATTAGCCCTCTGTCAGATGGGTAGATTGCAAAAATTTTTTCCCGTTCTGTTTTTTACCAGTTCACTCTAATGATTGTTTGTTTTGCTGTGTCGAATCTCTTAAGTTTAATTAGAGCCCATTTATCTATTTTGGCTTTTGTTGCTGTTGCTTTTGGTGTTTTAATCATGAAGTCCCTCCTTATGCCTATGTCCTGAATGGTATTGCCTAGGTTTTCTTCTAGAGTTTTTATGGTGTTAGGTCTATGTTTACATCTTTAATACATCTGGAGTTAATTTTTGTATGAGATGTAGGGAAAGGGTCCAGGTTCAGCTTTTTGGACATGGCTATACAGCTTTCCTAACACCACTTATTCAACAGGGAATCCTTTCTCTATTGCTTGTGTTTGTCAGGTTTGTCAAAGATCAGATGGTTGTAGATGTATGGTGTTACTTCCAAGGCCTCCGTTCTGTTCCATTAGTCTATATCTCTGTTTTGGTTCCAGTACCAGGCTGTTTTGATTACTGTAGCCTTGTAGTATAGTTTGAAGTCAGGTATTGTGATGCCTCTGGCTTTGTTCTTTTTGCTTAGGATTGTCATGGCTCTGCAGGCTATTTTTTGGTTCCACATGAAGTTTAAGGTGGTATTTTTCAGTTCTGTGAAGAAGGTCAATGGTATCTTGATGGGGATTGCATTGAATCTATAAATTACTTTGGGCGGTATGGCCATTTTCATGATATTGATTCTTCCTAACCATGAGCATGGAATGATTTTTCATTTGTTTTTGTTCTCTCTTATTTCCTTGAGTAGTGGTTTGTAGTTCTCCTTGAAGAGGTCCTTCACAAGGGTGCCCTCTCTCACCACTGCTATTCAATGTGGTATTGGCAGTTCTGGCCAGTACAATCAGGCAGGAAAAAGAAATAATGGTATTCATTTAGGAACACAGAAAATGAAAGTGTCTCTGTTTGCAGATGACATAATTGTATATTTAGAATACCCCATTGCCTCAGCCCCAAATCTTCTTAAGATGATAAGCAACTTCTGCAAAGTCTCAGGATACAAAATGAGTGTGCAGAAATCACAAACATTCCTATACACCAGTAACAGACAAATAGCCAAATCATGAGGGAACTTTCATTCACAATTGCCACCAAGAGAATAAAATGCCAGGGAGGATGTTTTAAGATGCGATGTAAAAAGGGAAAGATATTCTGTTTTGGATCTGTTACATATGGAATCCTATTTGAATTTTAAGTATATGTTTGGATATATAAATACAAAGTTCAGGGAAAATGTCTGGCCTGAAAATAAAAAGTACGGAATTATTAAATACAGATGCCATTATATACATGAGATTGTAGGTGATATTCTGTGGGCATAATATTTATTAGGAGGAAAGGGGGCCCTGGAACTAAGCTACTGGGCATTACAACTTTCAGATGTTCAGATAGGGAGGAGGAACTAATATAGACTAGACATATTTTGTTCTATAGTTTTCCTTTTAAAAGTCTTGTTTAACTTTCAAAATCAAATCAGTTAATGTTTTAGTGAGTTGGAAAACACATATAACTCAACATGTTCAAATTATTTAATTCATTATACAAAATAAGTATGAAAAACCTGTTAGATATGTTCAAGTAAAATTACTTTCTGATATCCAATTTTAGAAGTAGTAAATGTGGAGCACGTTATAAATGTGAGTTACTTTTCAAAAACATTTCTGTTAAGTTTGAAGGAAATACTTAGAGAATAGTCCTAAATCTGAACACTAGTACAAAATATTCAAGTAGGGATAAAGACTTGAAAATTATGTCTCAGAATCTAACAACTCATTAGTAATTTTTTGAATGTTAGGCCATTGTAAGTAAGATGTGGTAATATATAAGAAAGTAAGAAAATATAAGAAGATAATTTGATTCAAATTTGCATTCTTAATAACTGTCACTGTCTTATGGTTAGAAAAATACATTAGTATTTATTTTTATCTCTTCACATTGCATTTAACTATTTAACACTGTCACATATGTTGGTATTTCTCCAATCTTTGATTAATTTTCCATTTTACTAACTTATATGTACATTTGTTTGTCTCTATAAAGGCCTGTACTTTTAAGAAGAGAACAAAAGAATATATAAACTGATACTTGTCATCA